ATAGATTCCAATATTTTTCAGCATACAGATGTAGTGGATAGAGTTAAGAAACAATGGTTGGAAATATGGTCAATGAAGGAGGTGGGAATAAAATAGGAGTGTTATGGGACATGATAAAAGTACTTATGAGAGGAATTGCTATAAGAGAATCTTGTAGAATAAAAAGATTGAGAGACAAATACAGTATATATAAAAAAAGAAGAATCATTAAAAGATTTAGAATGTAACTACTTTATAAATAGGGATAATAAAAAAATTATTAGAGATTCAAGCTAAAAGGAAGGAGTTGGAAAGGGTAGAGTTAGAAAAGGTCCAGAAAGATATGATATATGCAAAGACAAATTTTTTTGAACATAGTATTTATTTATTTATTTATTTATTGGACTTATATACCGCCCCATAGCGCTACAAGCACTCTCCGGGCGGTTTACATTTTTTTAAATTATACAGGCTACACATTGCCCCCCCAGCAAGCTGGGTACTCATTTTACCGACCTCAGAAGGATGGAAGGCTGAGTCAACCTTGAGCTGGCTACCTGGGATTTGAACCCCAGGTTGTGAGCACAGTTTTAGCTGCAGTACAGCGTTTTAACCACTGCACCACGAGGCTCTTAGTAATAAAAATTCAAAGCTTTTAGCTAGAATAGCCCAAACTAAAAGATCAAAAAATAAAATTGGAGTGATTGAAGCTTAATCAGGAAAGAATTGTAGCCTAATGAAGGAAAAATTAATACAAGAATTCTATCAAAATGTATATAAAAGTAATAGAACATTGAAAGAATGTTGGACACAACTGGACAATTTGCCAAGGGGAACCTTTACCTACCTTCCTAGCTACCTACCTACCACCCCCCCCACACATTGAAAGAAGATATAGAAAATTATATTAAAGAAAATGTTAAGAGCAAACTATTAGAGGACGATAAAAGAGAATTAAAAAAGAGATAAAGGATGATGAGATTATAGAGATTATTAATAAATTAAAAAAGGGTAAAACTCCAG